TAAATATGATATTAGGTTTAGAGTACCTCATAGAGTACAGGAACCGCAACAACAAGACGAAAACCCGCATTCATTCTTGAATTTTTTCGGGTTGAAGAAGAAGAAGAAAACAACTCAAACAGAAGCTGTGAGTGAATCTTCATCAACAAGTGGCAGTAGCAGCGGCGGCGGCAGCTTCAACGAGCTTATGGCATACCTCAATGAAGGCTTAGTATTCGGCGGTACGGCAGAATCGTTTGACTTAGTTCAATGGTGGAGGGCACGGGCATTAACTTGGCCAATCCTAACTCGATTGACAATGGATATATTTTCGATCCCAGTCTCCACTATTTCATCCGAACAAGCCTTTAGTACGACAGGAAAAATACTTGAGGAACGCCGGAATGCATTGCAAAGGGATATTGTTGAAGCCTTGGTTTGCATTAAGGATTGGGATCGGGCCGATCAACGTCTACAAGATAAAATTTCCCCGGCAAGCCAAGAATGGATCGATGAATTTAATCGATTAACGTTTAATTTTGAAGACAATCCTTCAGCTTCAAATTAAATTATAAATTTGTAATTTGTAAATATGTATTTACCTTTGATATTGTATTTGAAATTGTATAACTTTATAAGTTTGTAAAATTTGTAATTCGTCACAAAATGATTGCACTCTTTTTTCCTTGCCAAGTTTTTATCCTAATTGGGTTTTTCTTGGCAAGGTTTTTAGCGAGGCAATCATGAATTACAAATTTAAAAATTAATAAAATAATATTTTCTTTATATAGTTCGTGTGTTCATTTCAAATTTCAAATTGTAATATATATATATATATATATAAATTTTAACACAAAATAACTTAATATTAAAACAAATTTAAAAAAAATTTCGGGCTACTCGGGCGGGCTCGGGCGTCCTAATACAAGCCCGCGGCCTGTTCAAGGTGAAATTCGGGCTCGGGCGGGCGACCCGAATTTTTCGGGCAGGTCGGGCTCGGGCAAAAACTCAGTTTTTTCAGGTGGTCGCGGGCGGCCCATCCAAAGTTCCAACACTACTTGTCACGTTGTCAATCTAAACCACCAACTCTGGAGGGGGTTTAAAACCTTGAAAACATA